AATAAAGTTTACATTATCAGGAGTATGAGACAATTTGTTGTAAGATGATACAAAGATTGATAGTTTCCAGTATAATTCAGTTTTCAAGTTAAATGGATATTTTAGAAGGTTCAACGGCTCATCTTATTTTTCAACAGAAAAAGAAATGAAAAAAATATTTACATTCCTACGTGAATATGTAGAATAACAATCAATTTTACTTTTTATTTGACTCTTATGAGGAAAATCAGCCTTTTAAATTAGTCTAATGTAAATATAAAAATCGAAATGGTAGGTTTCAGTCATTTTAAATTCTAGTGAATATATGTGAGATTTTCTTGTATATGTTTTGTGGAATACAGAAGAATTACAAAGATATATGACACGTGTGCAATATAGACATATCTTGAAGTTTCCTTTTGATAATATTTCATAATCAAAAGACAATGTTACAGATGAAATCGACAATGATTACATAGAAAAATGAACTTCATTAAGATTTGATGTTGGCTTTACATAAATATCCACATCTCAAGATTTGTTAAAGAATTAATATTGATTAGAGCTTATTGCTATTAGAAAAACCAGTATATAACATCAACATGTCATCTTTTATAATTTTTTTGTGAAATCGTTTGTGATATCTCAGGCAGATGAACAGAGATTAAATGATAATGAAGCTTTTTTTATTGTCTTATAGCTACAGACTATGTGAATACTTACTATCTATATATGAATAAGAATGAAAATTATGAAATACAAATAAAAAAAATATTTCTTCTAAACGTTTAAAGTAATCAAGATTATAATGCGATTGTAACAAAGTGACTATTGGTTTATCTATCTGTTTATTGTTATTTTTTCTCCCAATATGAAATATCAATAGATTATATTTTATATACAAACTCTGGAAAAACTTGGTTTTGTGCTAATTGAAAATCAATAAGTATTGTATCAAAAAAAGCATCAAAGACCGAAAGCTCAAAAAGTCATTTTCGGTCTCTATAGATTTGAAATTTTTCTTTTGGAATCGAGTCGGTGATGGGCCTTGATTATATACCACGGATCGAAATCGCAATAAGTGATATCATCGTTTTTGAAAGCTGATATGCCTTTCTTGCCCACATATCCAACAAAAGCATTTTTTTTAAATTTCAATCGTAACATACTTACACAGATCTATTTGAGTAAGCTGATTACAAAAGTGATATCTAGAATGAATAGAATGATATTCCTTGTGGACTATAGCGAGCTCATTGTGGAAAGAGCTAGTTTTGGACTTAGATCTTAAGTGAATCGTATTGAAAAACAGTTTTTTCTTACTCAAAATTATGAGCTCTATAAAAGAAAATGGAGTGAACAATAATTTTTTGAGTTTTTACCTAGTAGCATTCTCAAAAACCTAGAAAAAATTGTGTATCAAGGTTTTTCATGGGGCTTCTGAGGACACTGGAAAATCACAGTCTCTGGAAAACTGTTATCATTATTGTGTCTCACATGGTCAAAAACATATATATCCAAGTTTTTGGAACTTTTAGTTGATATGGTCAAATTAGAAGAACAATCACTTATATGTGATATATCGCATGCTCTGTTGAATGAAACTAGTTTTGTAATACTTCATAGGAATCATATTTGCTTGAAAAGCCTGAATATAAAGCTTTTTGGTCATGTGGAACATGATGGCGCTATCGAACTTCTAGTGAACTATAGATTCTCCAGAAATCGATCAAATTTTGACGCTGTGCAGCATCGACTTCACAAATAAACAGGGTGGTCACAATTAATCATAGGCTACGAAGCTCGCATTTTTGACTGGGATTGCCAACTTTTCGTTTAATCTACCTTCAACTGGACTTTCCTTGTTCGAATTCGCATAGAGCTCATCATTTTGACTAAGAAAAAAAGCTGTTTTCAACATGATTCACTTAAAATTTAAGTCCAAAGTTAGCTGCTTCCAGTCAAGAAAACACTATGGATGTTCACAATGAGCTCACTACAGTTCGTAGGAGATGCAATTCTATTCATTCAAAACATCATCTTTGGAATTAGCGCACTCGAACTGATATGTCTAAGATTGTTGCGATCACAATACCGGAAGAATGTTTTTCTCGAATATCTGAGAGATATCTCAAATCTCTTCGATTCGTTTTTATTCTCTATATACTAAGAGAAATGAAATACTAAAGATCTAGAAAATATATTTTTAGTTGGCTATATATCTGATAGGATAACTGTAAAAGAATCCTGATACATAGCACCATTTTTAACTCTTTCTGTATAATAGAGATTACTTTGCAAGTTCAATTGCTAATAATATCACTTCACGTTTCAACAATTTTTTTCTGAGCTTTCATTCTCGAGATCATCGCAACAGAAAATGATAACTTTTGATAATTGACCGATTATTTTTCTAGAATCATATTGACTAACATATGGATACAAAAAAAATAAATCCAAGACAAAACAAACAAAAATAATACAAAAACAGAATTAATAAACAATTAAGTTAAATGACGAGAAATAAAAATGTGATGAAATACAACTAAATAACGTTCAATTAAAGGATGACATATAAATATAAGAATAACAACATTAAATACAAAATCAACATCAAATCATAATGTACAAAATGTATCTGATGGAATTACAGCAGCATTTGTTTGAAAATAAATCAAAAGAAGTGCTAATTCATTGACTACCAATCAAACATATAATATCAATTTCGGCATTATAACTAATTATCAAGAAAGCTAATCTAACACAATATTTCAATAGATCAATAAAATTCCTAATTTGTCGATTTTACATAAGCAAACTCATAATCGAAATTTTTCTTCTAGAGTTTGGAAAAAGTTTGTTTTTTAAAAGATTTTCAAGTTAATACATTTATATTTTCATTATATAAAGTATTGTTTATCTGTAAAAAGCTGCAAATCAATACAACCAGAATAATATTATTCTTGATGTTTATTTTCAATGTATGTTTGAAAAATAAATCGAGAACAACAAGTCAATAAAATATTCATAACGAGATTAATCTGAAATAGTATTATTAATATCGATGATTGTTATCTCTGATTGACTAATCCACTGTGCACTAAGCACTAGAAGATGTAGTATTATCTGTTTCAAAATATAATATGCTCCATTGTTTTTTTTTTTTTGAATAACTTTTGATAGGAACATCATTGAGACCTGCACTTTTCACTATTCAAGAGAAAAGACTCGGAATCATCGAAACATATTGCAGTGTCATTGGTTAGTAATCAACTGATCAACTAAGCGCTTGGTAGAGATTTTCAAAAATAATATTCTAAACTTATTTCTTTTTCGATCTACTTAAGAGCAACATTCCTTAGACTCTCGATTCCAGCCAGAAGTTAGAAATAATCTGACACTATCTAAATTCAATCAGTTTCTAACTTCAAAATTTTATATTATCATTCGGCTCTGCATGATGAATTATCTCTGTCTAGCTGCTTTTCTGGATAATTACCTTTGTCAGTGGGCTGAAATCGAGTGTCTCGAGAAGAGTCTTATGACTCTGAAACAAACAAGTTAGAAATGTCGGCCTTAAGTAGATCGAAAGGGAAATAGCTCTAAAATATTAGTTTCATAAATTTCCATCAAAAACTCACCTGATCAATCGAATTCTGATGTTTCAATGACTCATTATAGTAAAAAGCATAAGAGATGCAATAAACTTCCATTAATTGTAATTATACTATTTTTATTGATGTAAATTAATTATTGAGCTTTTCAAATTTTTTTCTATCCTAAAACTAAGTTTTTTACTCAGCAAAAACTATTAAGTGTCTAATAAAAAACATACTGAATACTCTGTATATTATCTTTTATATTCAATGTGGCCTTTTCCAAACAAGGAAAAAGCCTTCTTTCTTACGGTACAAAATACATTTGATGACGCCATCATTCAACTTGGAATTTTCTTATTCTTTTGATTTTGACACGTGTCATTTTTTGGTGGCAAAGCACTTCTTAGAAAAATATAGTTACTTTATCGACGGATTTATTTTAGTAATATTTTATTTTGAGAATAATATTTAGAATTCTTAAATTCTATATCTACGAATATATACATGTGAGTCGATGCATATTTTCTGCTAATAATGTCACAATTTAACTTTGAGAATTTTGAATAAGTTTTATAGAATAATTCTCTTTCTAAAGTTCATTTATTATAATAGTATTTTCATCAATTCTTCACTCTCACACAAAAAAAAAACATTCATTTTAAAAGCGGAGACAAAGGAGGCAAATACCATCAGGTAATAGTGTGTAACAACGTGATGTTTTTGTCAGCAAACTTGCTTTCATTTTTCTTTTTCTTATTTACCTGAAAGAACATAAAATTTCTTATCAAAAAAAGTTTGTTGGTTCACGTGTTCTTTTTTTTTCAAATTAGTCTGGATGAAATACGTTAATTTTTTCTTTGCATTTATAATCAAATCATACAGAACCTAGCGTTAAAAATTCGTCAGCCCCATCGAATAAGTGAGTGAATTAGTTGATTAGTTTTTATTTAAATATATTGCTAAAACAAAGTATAAACCTATATGAAGAAATGCAGAATACACTAGAGAGAAAAAAACACCGAATTGAAGCATAAAAAAATGTGTTACAGAACGGAAGTTGAAGGAAGACAAAAGTTGTGAAATTGTTAAGTGGCAAGAAAATACAACCGTATATTCATTCAAATTGAATCACATCGGCAGCTTGTATACATTATATATAACCTATTTGTGGATATAAAATCTATATTCTTTTGTAATGACAATTATTTGGATTCTATTAACGATCAGTTCTAAAAAGTAAGAAATCGTTTCAATGTCGAATAGGCTGTTATTGTACTGAAATATTTCCTAAATATCTGGAAAAAAATCAACATTAAATTTTTATTGATAAAAAAACATAATCGAAAAATGATTATTTTTATTTTCAGACTAGTAACTCTATGTAAACTCTTAGGTTCATAATCATTCGTCGAAATAGTTATAATGGTTGTGAAAAACTTTTCTAATGGTGCCAAATATGAAGGAGATTGGGAAGATGGCAAGAAAAATGGCGAAGGAACTTTATATTATGCAGATGGAGGTAAATATGAAGGTGAATGGACTAATGATTTACGAAATGGTTATGGAGTTAATCAATGGGCTAATGGTGATCGATATGAAGGAAACTGGAAAAATAATAAGAAACATGGTCAAGGAAAGTTATTTTATGCTAATGGAGGTAAATATATCGGTGAATGGGAAGATGATATGAGAGATGGTGAAGGAAAAAATACATGGTCGAATGGTAGTCGATATGAAGGATCTTGGGCACAAAATCAACAACATGGTCAAGGAACATTTACTTATGCAGATGGAGGAAAATACGTCGGTGAATGGGCAAGCAATATGAGAGATGGATACGGAGTAAATACTTGGTCAAATGGCGATCGATATGAAGGATTATGGAAATACAATAGAAAAAATGGACCAGGAACTTTTTATCATGCTGATGGAACGAAAGAGGTTGGTGTTTGGACAGATGATAGCATAGATAATCAGTCGAATGACGTTAAAGAAAAGAAAACTAAGAAAGCTCTTTCAAAGAATGGGATACAATTTAAAGGTTTTTGGCTAAATGGTCAACCTTTTGTGGTTGTATTAATGCCTAAATCATCTGATTGTCCTTATCTGACACTTGCACATGAATTTATTGTTTCATTAAAGTGGAACAAATCATTTTTTGATCGTGATCATGATCATTGCTATTGCAGTCATTGTTATAAGCATTCATGGCATGATGTTATCGAGGCTGGCGAAGGTAAATATGTTATTCCTCGTGGATGGGTACGATTGGGTCTTCATATTGATCCAGTTCTCTTGAAAACTCAAGATGTTTGGAATAAATGGATAGTAACATTTCATGGAACAACAAAAATTGCTGCACAATCAATTCTTACGCATCGACAATTTTGTCTTCCGGGCGATACATTAATTGATGGTACTAAATTGGGTATTCGTCCTGGACATATTCCTAATCAAAACTTTATTTATACGTCACCAACTATAGCTTATTCAAGTGGTTTAGCATATAGTCCAGTATATGATTTTCATTCAACAGAAAATGATGCTGATTATCTAGCTCAAATCGTTCTTCAATGTCGACAAATGCCTGATAGTTTTCAAATCGGACCAGAAACAATTGGAGCTGGCAAAAACGAAATTTGTCCACATATTCCGAATTCCAAAATTGAATATTTTACAGACAGAAGAGCAACACTTCATGCTTATGGATTACTCGTGAGATTTCGACAAAAAAATTAGTAATTAAAATGTAAAAAAATATTATTATTTTCTTTTTTGTTTGTAACTGAAAATATTCAATTCATTTTTATATATAGATTTTTGTATCAATTTAAAAAAAAATTGAATTATATAATGATCCAATAATTAATAAAAAAAATCTCCAATTTTTTTGTATTTATTTAGATCCTTTGGATAATATATATATATTTTAATATTTTACTGTTAAAAATCATATACGAAAAGAGAAAAATTAAATAAGAATATTATTCTATTAGATGTTGCCGTTTTATCATTCTATTGTCTTGAAGCTAATAAAATGCTATATTTCAATATTTATGATAATCAATAGTCAACGCAAAAAAAGGTAAGTAAATGATATTTGCTTTATTTTATTTTCTTGTGATAAGACTACAAGAAAAAGCAAGCAACATAATTTGTGTGTCAATGTTCAGGCAATTACAATGATGTTGAACAATTATATTTGGAAACAAATATTTGGTAGGTAAAATAGATAAAAGCTGTTAGCACAATCCTTGTAGAATTAAAATGTGAAACATGATGTGGATGCTGTTGTGAATTACAGGAAGATCTTTAAACATTATAATCCATATTATGTAGTTTTAAAATGAATAAATCATTATGGTGTATTATGTATAAATTTTGATATATGAAAAGAAAATCACTCAAAAGCTAATAAAAAAACATTAAGAAAAATTATTTGATTTCAGTCTGTATTCTATTTCCTTCATCTTTAATACAAAGCTTTTATCTCTTCATGTCATCTAATATACAATGTGTTCGAGAAAAAAAGAGTGTATAGCTTCTCGATCACATATTCATTAAAGTTTTATTCAATAGTCAATGAAGTTTAAAAATGAGACAGGATGAAGTATTCGGTGTATGCAACTCTTCTTTATAGAAGTGCCTTGTATGGCTCCAATAAGAGATGTTGTTGATTGTGGCAATGAACAAACTTGTGCAATATGCTGAATACTTGATCCTGCCTCACTTTTACACTTCATTGACTTTTTCTTGAGTAATTACTCTACAATAATGGATTTTTCGGTAGTACTGATTTCACATAATCGCTGAAATGCGGCTCTAATGCAATTCTTAGTTGGTGTGTTTTGGCCAAAGTCAACTATCAGTAAAACTATATTGATTCTGACTTCGGTGACATAGACATTTTATCTGACCAACTGTAAAAGATAATATTCAAATCCCTTAAAGTGCTGAAGACACATTCACGTCTTTCTTTTTCGTACGGAGCTTTGCAACACAGAGTATGTAAGTTTTCTAATCTACGCGCATGAGAAAAAGAGATGATCATCATAAAAAGATGTCATTTTAGTATTGACGGCCCATGTGATTGGAACCGAACAAAACCTAGCAGTAGCTTTATACTTAAGGGAATCTCCTCAAGAAAAAGAAGTTTTTTTTGAGTATCCGCTCTTGATAATATTTTTTTTGCGGAGGTGTACCTTGAGGTAAGCACCGCATATTAAAAATTTCTGTTTCATACATTGAGTCGATGAAGGATTAGCTTAATGGAGACCCCCCCTTATCGACAAACTGTTCTATTTTTTCATGAAATTCAACAAATTTTTCAGGAAATGTTAGTCTAAGCTAGAGTAGATTAGGGTTAAAATTTCGCCCGAAATCTCCGAAGCATTCACGAGGTATGGTCAATTCACTGAAAAAAATAC